ATGTGTTATAGATACGCAAATAGGTTTGTATGTGTGGTAGGTATGTATGTGTACGTGGCAAAGAAAATATGCAAAATTCGTTTTCTTATCTAAAGTGAAATCGGGGCAAAATCTGATATGTAAATGATATAAATTTTATGTCATTGATGTAGAAAATTAAAAATGGAATGTAAACAAGTAAGCAAAAAAGTATAGGAATTACAAAATGTCGATGGGGCGGGACACTACCGATAATACTGTCACTCAAGGAAATATTTTTCTTTATATTATTTTCTTTGTAAAATTATATTTAAAATTGTAAGGGGGAGTTTTAGCTGTTGGCTAGTCTGTCTTATAACATCATCAATTCAGCCCTTGTTTTCGTATTCTACATATCCACAATTCGCACATCCTTACCACTTCGAGTACCCTCTTCGAAATTAATATCGCCTTTGCTTAGCATAATCAGGTTCCAAATAAATGGACCGCAGATAAAATCCTAAATAAAAATTCTAAAATATCGCCATTAACCTTGTTGGAACGCTATCAAACAAAAGGAAGTCAAATACACCTCCTGAAGTCGACAAGAATGTCAACAAAGAATTTCATAATTTTGCATGTGCAGCGTCGCATCGCAAACTGATGAGTCCATGTATCTATAACATGACACTCGGGACACGGGACACCCGAACATATGCGATGATGTAATTCGTGCAAGCGAGGATTACTTCTTGATATTTCAGGCGGCTTAAGGTGAGCTAAATCTTTGGTAATGTTTCGTCTACCTCTTTTTGTACACGTTTGGAAAATAGTCCAAGTCCCGAAGGCCCTTCACTGGTATAAAGATCCTTTCAATGAGCATTTATCTCCACTAATACATTTTCAATGACTGTATCTCCTCCACTCCCACTTGAGATTTGAACGTGGTTTGCAGGATACGTACCAAGAAGTAAGAAAAGTACTACATGGTATTAATTTTTCTTTTTTTGGGAGGGGAGGTTTGTTTTATGAAGTGTTTCAGATGAGTTTTTAATTTTATGTAGGATATTAAATTAAATGTTTTCTAGAAATTCTAACACTAAGTGTACCAATTGTACTAAAATGCCCACTTGAAATCAAGTTTATGGATTTGAAAATGTGTACTTATCTAAGAACTGTACTAAGTGGTACAATACACAATTTGATACAATATGGGATTTGGTGGTTTGGGAACGGGTGAAAGAATAGAGCTGAAATTTTGAAATGTTGTTCTTGGGGTTACTGCTGGTGGGTAGTTTTGAAAAAAATGCTGATTTAATACCCTCCACCGTTTTGACGGAACTTGAAAAATTTCTAAAAAATTCCGTTGAAAAATGCCTCGTTCATAAGTCATTTTTTGTCATAGGATGTAGTACCGGCTTCGAACCTCAAATACGAAATTTAAAACCATTCCGGTGAACAATGTCGCTAAAAGCATCAAAATTGCGAATATCGGGAGATATCGTTACATGGGAGCTAAACGAAAACGTGGACCTGCAAAGGCCATTTTCAGTCATAGGCTTTAGTAGCGAGTCCGAATTTCAAATACGAAAACGTAAGCAATTTTCAGTCATAGGCTTTAGTACCGAGTCCGAACTTCAAATACGAAAACCTAAACAATTCCGTACGCGATTTTTTGTCATAGCCTATAGTACCTTTTGCGAACTTTAAATACGAAAGTTGAAGCAATTTCGGTAAAAATATCGCTAAAATCATATATGAAAATGTGGACCGACATGGCCCATTTATAAACTTAACCTGCCTATTGGCAATATACGCATGTGTGCAAATTTTAGCCGTCCATCTTAATTTGTTCCAAAGATAGCGTGATTATAACAGACAGACTGACAGGCAAACATAGAGACGAACGTCGGTAAATCGACTTACAATTTTACGCTGATCTAGAATATATGCACTTTGTTGGGTCTGAATTGTTTGGAAAATGTATTTCCCGGAAGCTATGTTTTATTATTATTTTTTTATTTGGGTAACGTAAATATATTGAAAATTGTGAGTTTTTGTGGGTGAGGTTGTGGGAAGATATATATCGCAGATAATATCGTCTTTAGGAAAAAAAAATTGGATGTGTGAAATCTGAGGAGAGTTGGAGCCTTTTTTCGCTTTAGCGTGTTTGTTTTTTTCAAAAATCTTGAACCCTATGCGATGGAGGTACCAGAAAAAATAATCCGATCTCTACCATCTTTATAAGAGATCTTGTGCTGATGGAAATATTGAGATGTACCAAGTCTGGAATCGGATGTTAATTTTGCTTTTTATGAACTTCATGGATATTCAAAATTTTGAACGTTTGTGGGGGAGGTACCAGAAGGAGTGAACCGATAAATTCGAACTTAACACCAGCAATATATGTAAATATATAGGGATGTGTGAAAAATTAAGACATTCGCATTTTTTATCACATTTTGTAAGAGTTGTAGGGTTCGTGGGGAGACCACTAATCCTAATAATTTTTTTTTCTTTTTGTTATATTATATATATCGTAGATATAACGAGACAGACGTTTCCGTCTAGAAACGTGTTTATCCACTTTATAATATTTTTAGTATCAAGGGTCAACACAGACACAAATGTCCAATATCGCCCACTTAATACTATAGAAGATTTTATTAAATAAAAGACGATAATATTCTTGTGTTTGATACTTTATATCTAAAAGCAACTCCAAGAAATGACAAGCTTAGCTTAATGCGTGTAATTATGTAGACGAGATCATAAACACGTAAAACGGTTAACACATGAAATTGAGAGTGATTGAGAGTAAACAAAATAATCACAATAACAATACCACTTGTAAAAGAAAGAAAGAAAAAACAATCACTTAATCTCTCATTGGTAATTTACAATAATGTCAAGTTTAACTCATTTCAGTGAACTAGAGAGCAATTAGAGCATCACACAGTAATCACCAACGAAATGCAGAAATACAGTTACTTAACACAAAACAACATATTTTCTTATTCTTGGTATAGAACAAAATTAATTATCCGAACACTCAAGCAAAATTACATTACATATGTATAATAATAACAATAATAATAATAATAATAATAATAATAATAATAATAATAATAATAATAATAATAATAATAATAATAATAATAATAATAATAATAATAATAATAATAATAATAATAATAATAATAATAATAATAATAATAATAATAATAATAATAATAATAATAATAATAATAATAATAATAATAATAATATAATAATAATAATAATAATAATAATAATAATAATAATAATAATAATAATAATAATATAATAATTATAATAATAATAATAATAATAATAATATAATAATAATAATAATAATAATAATAATAATAATAATAATAATAATAATAATAATAATAATAATAATAATAATAATAATAATAATAATAATAATAATAATAATAATAATAATAATAATAATAATAATAATAATAATAATAATAATAATAATAATAATAATAATAATATAATAATAATAATAATAATAATAATAATAATAATAATAATAATAATAATAATAATAATAATAATAATAATAATAATAATAATAATAATAATAATAATAATAATAATAATAATAATAATAATAATAATAATAATAATAATAATAATAATAATAACAATAATAATAACACAAATCATGATATAAAAGGAAATCAACACATAAATATATAAATAATAATGGTGTGTCCGCTGCAAAGTTATAATTGTTAAAAATGTTAACCCTTTGTGGGAGTGGACCGATATTATCCATTTTTGCATCTAACCGAGAACTGAGGCAAATGTTTACATTTGCAAAGTTGGAGCAAATTAGATTATTGCTTCTCATTCTTTGCAGAAAATACATTTTTTGAAAATTTCGACCTTTTGTGGGGGGGGGGGGGTGGGGTGTGTACTAGCGGGAGTGGATCGATATATTCCTAGCGGGAGTGGATCGATATATTCCTAGCGGGAGTGGATCGATATATTCCATCTTAACACCAGAACTTGGGTTAATAAAATTATTGGGATGTGTGGAATTTGAAGACAATCGGACTCTTACATCAAATCGGATACTGCCTTCGAGAGTTATCGTGCGCAACGGCCCGCCAAACAGACAGATGGACGTACGGATTGACATCGCTAGATCGACTCAAAATATTCTGAAACGGCTTTGGTACGAAGAGATCAGGGTTTAAAACCATTATTTCGACTTGGCACGTTTTGACCGTATCAAATGATATATACCCTCTCTAGCCATATGGCTGAGAGTATAACTACCTATATGGCAGAGGTATGGTCATAACATTTGATAACGTTGGCGTGTCAACGTTAGTCCCAAATTCTAATATAGATCTAAGTAAGAAGGGACATTTTGGTCAATTGAGAAGTTTTTAATCGGTAACATTTCTTATTTATATAATACTAGTTAATTAGTGTATATAACAGCAATTTTAAAATTTCTATTTTCGATAAATTTCGTTAAATCTGTCGCACTTCTTGTCTCGAAAATTTTATTTTAAACACGAATTTCATTAAAATAATGCGCGATAAAATAATAATAAATAGGAATTAAGGAACAGGAATTAGTATAAAGCGACAGCTTCATGATTAATATACCATGGTGATGGGTGCATATAATTGCATTTATGAAGCATGTAAGCGGAATAGACTATGAATTATCATTAGCATTTTAAATGATGTATTTCTAAGAAATTTCGATTGTGAACGATTTTATTCAAACTCTAATCAAGCTCTCTAATGTTTCATTGGATCTCCCATGTAGTTAACATCCGATATTTCAATGGTATTATGCTAAAAATAAAAACATAAACAAGTATAATGGCATGTTCTTAATATAAGTCACACTAGTCGTCGTACTCTTTAATGCTCTTAGAGCATTGTACGCTCTAAAAACCGCAAAACGTTTTTTATTTAAAAATAATATGTAAATATTTGATTTCTAAGGCCGCAATCAGAGCAGCAGATTTTTTAGTTAATCAGCAAGTTTACATCACAGCGGTTCAACGAAATATACTTAATTAAAAATAAAAAAAATAATGCCAGACAATTATAATATTTTTTCCAATTTGGATATTGTGGAATGGCCGGTAAAAATAAAATAAATAAAAAAGAATAATAGTAAATCTTTATCTTTCAGGAATATGTATCAGAGCGCCAACTCGAAGGAGAGTATCTTGAAAAGGCGGAGAAAATTTTAGACATGGCCTTGGTGACACTGGAAGCCTACGATGGACCGCGCTACATTGTTGACAAAGTCATTGGGGCCACACGAAAGGCAATTTATTTTTATGAAATTAATGCCGATTTAATAGATTCGACAGAAGCAGTACACAAATGCAACATTATGATTTTATATGAACCATGGATGAAGGCCAATTGTATAGCCCAGGCAGTTTTTGAATTTGCCAATGCTGAGAAAGAAAATATGATTGTCGTCAAACGTAAAGACGAAGTGCCATATTACAGAAGTCCAGAAATATTTGATGGCAATACAATTACACATGCGGTGTCCTATATACCCTTGAGAAATATTTATAAAACTGTGACGTAGTAATAGAGTTAAATAAAATAAAAACAAATACATACCAGTTAATGATGCTCAGTCCAAATGAATCCATTCCAAGTTTGCGAAATTCCTGTAAAAATTAAAATAGAGAGAATAGTGGTCATAGACAAAATTCATCTTTTTAATAATTAAGGAGAAAATCCAACAAATTATGAAAGTAGAGCTAAAAAAGAAGAAAGCGTTTTGAAAGTTTACATTCCTCCTTCTTCCACACTCTTGGGAATTTTCGGAATCGGTTCATTTTAGATATAAAATATCTTCGGCAATATTGCAGATAAAAATAAGAGGAATACAGAGTGAGATAAAAAAACTAGTCAAACGCAATAATTTTTACATTTTTTCTTTTAATTTTTCGAATAGATTTGTTCGAATTGGTCACCTGTGGCACGAATTATGGTCTTCAAACGCCAATGAAACCGTCACACGCTGCCCGAATGTTGCCCTGCGGTATTTTGGCCCATTCCCGGCGTAGCGCTTGCTTGAGGTGATCGACACTTTGGTATTTTTTAGTGCCAACCTTGCTTTCCAAAATACTCTTTCCAAATTCTGATTCCACGGTCGATAAATACGAGCGAAGAGCGACCATCGGCTGTTATGGCAGCCCACACCATCACCATGGCGGGCGCTTGAGTTCTGGTGGCCAACCGAAGGTGCACATTTTCATCTGACCTCTTTGGCAAGTAAACACGATCATTTTGTTTGTTTTCAAACTGCTGGACAACGAATGTTTTCTCATCGGAGAAAACCAAATTCGGCATTTCACCACTTTCGACCAAGCGAAGCAACTCTTTAACTCTTTTGAGTCTATTTTCTTTCTGTTTGGGTGTAAGTTCTTGCACTTTTTGGAATTTCAATGGCTTTACCCCGAGCTCATTTTTCAATATTTGCCGAATGGAATATTGCGATATGCTCAGTTCACGAGGCATTTTTCGGCCACTGCGACGCGGGTTTCGATCAAGTCGCTTCTTTACTTTTCGAACCATTTCTGCTGATGTTGCTGTTTTCTTCCGTCCACTTACCGGTATCACGGTAACGAGCGTTATTACGAGACACAAAAGATTTATTCACATTTAAATGCTGGATTGACCTAATGATAGCCACTTGTGGGTTTCCAGCCAAATGTAAATGTCACGAATAACTTTTTTTCTGGAAAATTCTCACCAAAATGCTTTTGTACGCTTGTCACTGGAATAATTTTAACAGCTGTCGGACGAGTGGCTTGAAAATGACAGCAGTCTGAAGTTGGTTGCAGGTTTATCATCTCACCCTCATCTCACTCATTTGATATGTGAAAAATGTGCTTAATCGAAATAACGATTTTAGACCCTAGGTCGCTTTGGACCAAATCCGTTTCTGGTCATTTGAAGTCGATCTAGCAATGTCCGACCGTCTGTCTGTCGTTGATCGAATTCGGAGATGGGATATATTAGGCCACTCCTTCTGATACCTCCCCCACAAAACGTCAACATTTTCAAAAAAAAAGAAAAAATAAATAATAATAATAAATAAATAAATATTTTACCGCACAGAAAGAAAAAGGATAATCCAATTTTGCTCCAACTAATATTTGCATCACTGCTAGGAAATGGACAATATCGGTCCACCCCATCAAGTAGCTCCCCCACAAAGTGTAATTATATCTCTCATAAAATGTGATGTAACAGTCCGATTGTCTTCAATTTACACACATTACAATATTTTTATTAGCCTTAAGTCTGGTGTGAAGATGGAATGTATCGGTCCACTCCTTCCGGTACCTCGCAGATTTAGCAATAAATTGAATATAAAGGTTGGATTTTCTTGTATTTCTGCCCATACAAATATTTTTATCTGTATTATATGAAGCATTAAAATGGAATACTTCGGTAAACTTTATCTGGCACCTCTCGAAAAGTTTAACATTTTCTAAAAATTTTGACATATCTAATATAACGTAGGTCCGGTACGAAATGAACAATATTGGCCCATTCATTCGGAAGCTACTCCATAGAGGGTTCACAATTTGAATAATCACAACAGAAGTCTAAATATATTTAAATAATCGAACATTGGCTGAGGGTATACATCTGTTGGCAAAACTGATATTTTTTTCCTTGTTCCTCATCTAATCTGTATATCATTTATATTTGTATATCAAAAAATTTTACAAAATTTTATTCACGAGTTTTAAGTAAAGAGTTTATTAAGCTTGATGTAACATGTTTTTTACATACGAATGAAAAAAATCATTTTAATTTTTTTTTCTCTGAGATGTATCACAAGTCCTGTAAAATCCTTCATTTGGTTTTATCTGACACAACATCTAAAGTATGACATACTTTTGTCCTGAAGGAAACATTCATGTCCAAATGTAACTTACAATTGCTCCCATAATATTGTTACCGGTTGATACTTTCCTTTCAAGGTTAAAATGATTTGCAAAACCAAAACTAGACAGACTAAACACTCCAGCCATTATTGCCAGAGATCCACTTTTCTTGTTGATTGAAATGTTTGTTTTGAACTTTTTTACACTATCTTTATTCTCTCCTCTAGTTCTTGTTTTTCCCTCCATAAAAGTTAAATCATGTAAACCAGGCATTTAATAGAACTCCACAGAAGAAAAAAAAAAAAAGAACTAAAGCCCTCAGACCCATTGACCGCAACTACACACCAACAGACAAACAAACAAACAAACAAAGTAAATAAGAAGTGTGATTAACTCTTCGGTAATGGAAAACTTTACCGACCACAATCAGTATCAGCCGCACTCTTGCAAGATAATACAGGAAAATGCATATAAAACTATGGATCTCACAAATGGAAAACTTTTTGTTGCCATTTTGTCTGTCTGTCTTGTTCATTTTCAGTTTTGATGCGTTTTTCTATTTTTCTTTGTAGGTTCGCCCCGATCTAAATTCTCGGTGTATTTTGCATTGCCCTTTTGGTAGATTCCTGAGAAATGAGAAGGGGGAAAAAACATGGTTAGAACATGAAACATTTACAAAAGTTACTTAAAGATAAAGGCAAAGTTTAGGTCTTTTTTTGCCTGGTTGTTTTGCATGTTCGGTTTGTTCGATATGTTTGTTCAGTTTTTTTTTTGTTTTGTGTTATTCTTGGGGCTTCGTTATGTGGTTAAGCGGGTAAAGTACAGGAAAAACATTAAATCGAAATGGAGTTGATGACAAAATGCAATTATATGTATGTATGAGATTGGGGCATGAGGTGTAAAACGACAGTGGAGTACCCTTCTGTTAAATTGGGGAATACGTGGATGAAAATATGAGTAAAATGTAAAAACTATTTAAAATCGGGGACTGCCTTTATACAAAAGACCAAAAAGCGGACCTACATGACCCAGTTGTTAAACCAATAACTATTGAAGTAATCCAAAGCTCTCTGTAAAATGTCAGAGCTCTTAATTGCATGTTGCGAAATATATTTCCAAATATTGGGATACCTTTATATGTAGTCAAGGCCATATACATGTTTTTAAAAGTTTGGTCTGGGGGTTCGATCTACAAACCACTACTATAAAATCCACTTGGAGGTATTTGTCGAAAAATTTTGTTTTTTAAACTAAAAATTAACTAATTATACCCTCAGTCATATGGCTAGAGAGGGTATATATAATTTTATACGGCTAAAACGTGCCTCATCGAAATAACTGTTTCAGGATATTTGGAGTCGATCTAGCGATGCCCATCCGTCTGTCAGGCTGGCTGGAGCGCACGATAAGTCTCGAAGGGAGTATACGATTTAGTCCAAACTTAATACATCCATCAAACTTAGATGGGGTTCGGAGATTTTACTGTACAGAAAGAGAAAGGATAATTCAGTTTTGCTCCAACTTAGCAAATCCTAATATTTACATCAGTGCTAGGTCAGGTGCGAAAATTGACAATATCGGTCCACCCCATCAAAATACCATCCCCACAAAGAGTAAAAATTTTGAATAATTATAACTCTTATAAAATGTGATGAAAGAGTTCCATAGTCTTCAACTTACATCGATATATTCAACTTATATCAATATATTTTCATAATCCAAGCTCTGGTGGAGATTCTCAGGTGGGGAGAATCAGGTGGGGAGGATCAGGAATTACGATGTAGGTGTTCGTGTTGATGTCGGCGTTCGAGGTGATGACGACTTGAAGGTAATCGGAAATTTTGATAAATGGTTGATGGGTTGCCAAATGGTAGATACTCAGGATTTTCGATGTAGGTAGTTGGGATGTTGTCGGGTTGGGTAGCTCACGGTAGGTATGTTCAGGAGCATCTTATGCCTTTGTAGACGGATCGGAATTAGCTTTTTATTGGCAGCTCACTATAAGTATTTTCATCTACATATGACTAGGCCTTCGTAGATGGATCAGAATTCGCTTGAGTTTGTTCGGGTTTAGCTGTTAGGGTCGGCTACAATGCCTAGGAAAATATTTTATCTAGCACTACGATTTATGACTACCTCTGTCTAATTAACCACCAACGTTTAAGCTATGGTACGATACAACGGGCCGAAGCCCCTGCGAGACAACAAGGAGTCAAAGACTCGTGTGGAACAACGAGCCAAATTTCCTGTGTAAATGCGTTATGGGTCATCCAAACTTGTTAAAAATAGAACTGCCAGCTAAAAATTCTGTTCCAGAAAACAATTCAGAACATCACTAACTACCAATTGGCAGTAATAAGCCTCTCACAACGTTAACCAAACCGAACACCAAATGTGACTGACATTACCAAGTGAATGATAATTATTTACGTTAAACAAGATATTGCCGAAGGCTGAATTGTCCGATATGCGGTCAAGAAATACTGGGGTTGTCGGTTGACGCTGTTCTTATTGCTATTGCTACATGTTATTGTGGTCTTGCTGTTACCGTTATTGTTGTTACTATTGACATAATGGGTGTTGTTGTAAGTTCTGACTAACGTATGTGATGAAATCAAAAAGAAAAAAACATTAAAAAAATCAACGATTTATATGTAGCCCTGAAAAATAATTAAAAAAGTCCAAATCCATTTTGAATGTTTCGCATTTGAAATTATGTCACGGAGCACTGCCCAGATATTACCCTTAGCATTTTCAATAAG